TCCATTTTCTGATACGAAACCACTCTCCGACTTCTGCACGCAGCTGTCGCGGATATGTGATCTGTAGAGCTCCGGCCAAGAAGATGCAAATGACCGACCTGTGGAAGTGCTACAAGGCGAAAAATTCACTAGTGATGTCGAAATAACAAATAGCAATAACTGCAGAAAAAAGAAAATCTGACGGAAATTGCTACTAGAAGACATGCTTTGAAAATGATTCAGAGTTCACCATATCGTATTGAAGATATTATACGAATTATTTCAAGAATTAAGCGCTTAATCATTAGACAGAAAAGCTCATTAAAACAAATAAATATCAATATTCCAATTATCTTGTTTACAGCGGTAACAGCAAAGGTAAGTTGCTTAAGAGGAATCAGTAAGGATGTAGACATGACGTGAGGCTAACGTTGCAGTAGGAAAATAGAAGCTTTTACCTTCGGAATGTTCGATATTTTTGCACCTGTGTGAAGGAAACAGTTTGTCGAATCCATCAAACGGAGTTCATTAGTGCAACTCTATGAAGAAGATGTCGCATACATGAAGAAACTGCCTGCAGCTACGTACCAACAGCTGTATGTAGTGCTCAGCTTCCCGTAAAGCAATACTAATAATCTATTTTTGAAAACAAGAAGTAGACTGAGCAGGATTACAAATTGTCATCAATCATTTAAGATATTGATGCTCGATAGGCATAATGTTGCAAAATCAATTTTTAACACCAGTTTTAATCAGTTGGACATTATCTGTACAATCAGATTTTATTGACTGCACAAAGTTGATAATTCATGCTAAATTTGAAAAGCTTAATAATTAGTTATCTGACCATTTCTTGCCTGTCCACTGACCCCACACGCAAGAGAAGATAACCTGCAAAGGGTTCTTCCATGCAAGTTGGATAAGAGGCAATTATACAATAACAGCTGTAAAAAACAAGTGTAAAACTGCAAAGCATTCAAATTGACAGAGATGACAAAGCTGACTTAATAAATGGTCCACAACTCTAATAATCTGTCTTCATTAATTAAGAGTCAAAGTCCGCACAAATTCTATTTTCAGTAATATCATTATCTGAATCACGAGAAACCCTGAGAAGCATTCATTTATCACCCTGTAATGTTGAATTTTCGGCTCCACATCTATCTTAAAGTTTCGTCATCTCAACTTAAAAATCACATACGAGTTAAAATTTTAATGTTCTGATTTGCATAATCGCAAATAATTGCAGTATGTCCTCACTCAGAAGGAAAGAGCAACATTTAGATGATGAGACCATAAAGTACCAACTCGAACGAATTGAACTCTCGTCAACGAAACGCCAAGGCTCTAGAATTCTGAACCTCTGCGCGTGGAAGCTATTCTACTCAGGTGCCGATATCACGACGCGGGATCAAGCCAGGGTTGGTGTTCTGGTAGAACACACTCGCTGATAGAATCAATGATTGGAAGCCTGTCAGCGGAAGGGTGGCAATCATCCCACTGAAGCAACAACGAGCTAAATCCTTGACACTGTTACACGTCAACGCGTCCAATTTAGAGCGAGAATATGATTACATCCTTGAGGAAGTGGAGTGTGCTCTGCATGAAGTGCAGAATACCGAGCACCTCATACTTAAGGGCGATTTTAATGCGCACGTCAGAAAAAACGCTGAGAAGTGGAAAGGCGTGATTGGAAACAAAACTACCCTAGCAACT